GAGTCTTATGCAGAGGGCAGCGTCCCAGCCGCCGCGGCAGCTAGCCCCTTCAACTTCCAGACGCAGTTCATGAGCACGTCGCCTGTGAAGTCGGTATGTCCAGGTCCCCACGGCTTGCCCGCCTACCAACCAACCTATGCACCCTAGATTGTGCCTCTGAGCTGACAAGCTTAACGGTCTCGTCGCAGAACATCGGGCAACGTCGTGGCCATCGCTACAAGCATTCCTCCATCAGCACCCAGCACCAGATCTTCCAAGAGCCACCGCCCCGGCCCCCACCAGTCCTGCCCGCCTCCCTACCCGTGCCCACCCTTCGTGAAGCCTGGGCCTCCATGCACAAGGACCAGCGCGCCCGACTGTACTGGTGTATATGCCACGGCTTTATCGCGGGCTACGTTTTCTTCTGCGCCGGCGAGAGCCTCGCCATGACGGCCCTCTCCCACCTGGTCTTCTTCGACGTCGGGTCCGCGGCGATATGTGTGTGCGTGGATGTCCTGGGCAACTTCGAGGTGTGGAAGAGGAGCAGCGTGAGGCACCCATTCGGCCTGCAGCGGGTCGAGGTGCTGGCCGGTTTCGCCATGAGCGTCTTCCTGATATTCGGGGGCTTCGACCTGCTGAGCCACAACTTCAAGCACGTCCTCGAGAGCGTCGGCTCGCACGCGCCGCACCACCCCCACGGAGAAGGCGATGACGCCGCCGGTAGTGCCGTCAGCGCCGGGACGGTCGACCTGGCGAGCCTGGCCTCGGTGCTGAGCACGCTCGTGTCCGCGTACGGGCTCAAGAACCACGCGCGCATACGGCGCGTCATGCGGCCGAGCTACTTCTCGTCCTTCCTGCCCGGCGTCCTCGCCAACCCGTTCCACTTCTTGACGCTCTTCTTCAGCTTCCTCATGCTCCTCCTCCCCCTCCTCTCCGTCACCTCCTTCGCCTGGCTCGACAAGCTCATCTGCTTCGCCATCGCCGTGTCCATGTTCGTTCTGGGCACGCGCCTCGCTGTCGCCCAGGGCTTCATGCTGCTCATGTCGTACAGCAGCCAGCGCAAGCAGACGACCACCTTCGGCGTCGACGGCAAGGACAGCGACACGGACGACGTGGTCCGCGAGATCGAGTCCGAGCCCCACGTCTCGCGCGTCGACGAGGCTCAGTTCTGGCAGGTGCACTACGGGCTGTGCATGGCGACCATGAAGCTCTGTGTCATCCGGGGCTGCGACGATGCCGCCCTGGGCCAGTTGAGGCAGAGGGTGGGGAGGATCGTGCAGAACAGGCTGGGTGAAGGGTATGGCAAGGGAGGCGCGCTCAGGTGGGAGGTTACCTTGCAGATGAGTACGGATTCAGCGTGAGTGAGCTTTAGTCATGGTGTAAAATACTGTATATGTGTATAAAAGTAATCGTGTAAATGAATATGAGATATCACGGCATTCATTGGTTCACACAGGTCATGGCAGGCGGCGATTGGAGTTGCTCCTCAAGGAGCAGGAGAAGCGCAAACCGGAGAAAACCTGCTGCATGGTAGACATGTTGACTCGAGGAGGCTCTTGACAATATCATAGTTGTGGCTGTATATCGAAACCTGGCAATGAATGACCGACCACATAAACTCCTCCTGCACCCATGATGAGACATATCGTAAGTCATTGGTATAGAACCTTCTAACACGCGGTTCAAGTTTCAGAATAGCCCCCATCGTCCACCCTTCTCCTTCCTTGTCTCCGGACGTCCACCAGTCTTCGTCGGCCTCTCCCTCCCCTCGAGAGCCCTCAGACTCTCCATCTTCTCCAGCACGAGCTCCAACAACTCCTTCCGACGGATGACCTCCAGATGCCTCTTGATCTTGGGATCCTCCTTCGCAAAGCGCTCGATCTCGTCATCGCTCAAGTGCCGGCCGAGCCGGGCGTCAAGCTCGCGTGGGAAGTTGTAGTAGAACTCTGAAAGCAACTCCACATTGAGGAAGAGGACAGCAGTCTGAGCGAGCTTGCTGGCGGCCGCGTCGAGGAAGACCTCCGGGCAGTAGTACTTGTTCTTGAGGTCCTTGCACTGGCGGGATTTCACGGCCAACAGGCGCAGGTTGATAATATCAGCGCGGTCGCGGAGGAACACTGCTTCACGGCCTGGTGCGTGGTGTTAGTTGAGTTTGCATGACCGAATAAGCCTGAGCTTATTCGAAATGCATAAAGGGGTAGGTGCTTACCCTTGTCCAATAACGCAGCGCTGAACCCACCAGCTCCAAGCCTCCCCTCGCCCTCGACAACGATATCACCCTTGCGGCACTTATCCACAAAACCCATCACCTCCTTCAATTTCCTCCTGCCACCTACCGCAGTCTCCAGGTTTGTCATCGCGTTCTGACACGCCTCCAGCTCTCCCTTCAGGACGCCACCGACGTGCTCCCGTCCATTGTTCCACTCCCGTTCCTCAATATCGATCTCGAATTTGTATGGCTTGATGCAGTTTTCCACCTGATCGCTCGTGCTGTAAAACCTCTCGTTCAGGATAGTTGATGCCGCATTTGTGATCGCCTCACGTGCGAAAGGGTGGTTTGCGAACGTAGATTGCGCGATCAGCCGCTCAATGTGCTGCTGGATCGCGGTGGCCACGGCATTGGTCGCCAGGCGGCCCACCCCAAGCTTCGTAAGCGAGGAAGTGGATGCATCGAGTTGACGATGCCAGTAGAGATTGTTGGGGTCGGCTTTCGGGAGGTCGGCGAGCGTATCGACCTCCGGAGGCGGTTGAGACAGGTCAGTAATGGGTTTATTCCAGTAGCGAAGGGCGAGAAGGTCCAGCACCCGCTGATCAAGTTCCTTCTTGAGGAGTTCTTGCATTTGCGGCCGGCCAAATTCCTCGCTGAACTGTTTGAAAGAGTGCTTAAAGGTGTCGAGGCTCTCGGCAAGGTATGACTCTGCCGAAAGAGGTCGGTCGTTGTACTGAACCTTGAATTCGTAGGTAGCTTCCTCCAATTCTTGCTTGATCGCGTCATGTGTGATTTGCAGACTGCCCGACATGGTCTGCTCCAGAACGTGCATAAGCTTCTTTCGTAGGTTCAGTGTACCAAGGTTGACGCCTGTCTCCGGGCCAAACTCCAGAGGATGCGACGAGAAATAAGCCTGTTCATTCTTGGCGATGGCGGCGGTAAGGTTGCCTCCTAGTCCCTTGTTGAAAAGAGCTTTCACGCCTGGTGCTCGAGATACAACTCCGACGTAGCCGAGACGTAAGGGATACTGCTGGTCAGACAGAATTGCAGCTCCTCGCACCGGGTCAACAAGGTCCATTTTGGTGATGACGCCGATAGTCCTCTCGCCTCGCGGGTCTACCCTCCTGCTTGCCCGCAATGCTGTGGAGTTAGCCAAATCAACATCTGCGGCAGAGATAGCCAAAATAACGTTTGGTGGTTGGATATATTTGTCGCAAAGCTCTGCGATCTTTTGCTTGAGCTGCAAAGGCTGGTTCTGGCCAACCACCTGAATGTATCCAGGTAGGTCGATCAGTGACAGGTCCGGCACAGTCGGGGAATAGATGCTGAGGCGGATGGGGTCATCCGAGACACAGTCGCTGTCCGGGACGGCCAGGTTGAGATCGGTAAGCGTTCTTTGTATGGAAGAGAAATCTGTTGTTTTTAGGCCCAGATCTGGAAACTCGCCGTACTCTGCTTTGGAGTCAGGTGTGTTCACCAGAGTGAGCTCGATTGGTCGTCTCGTGACCATATTGGAACCCTTGGGCAGGAATTCATGACCCACGATAGCCTCCAGGACCGAACTCTTTCCTGAAGACTGCGATCCGATGACAACAATGGACGGGAGAGTAAGTGCGCTCGTCTGGCCAACCTTGGAGAGAATATTTCGAATCTCGATCATCTTCTTGGTGAGGACCATCATCTGGTCATCCTTCGCCATCTCCTCGGCCTCCCTGTCATCCTCGACGATCTGAGTCCAGCCGCCCGCCGCCGCTGCGCCGGCCATCACTCCTCGGGATCTGCCCCTTTTTGGTGGCTCATCCCCCGGCTCTGGGCCTCCTTTGCCAGTACCTATATCCTCTTGTATTCGGAGTAGGCTCTGCAACCATTCTGGCACCTCAACCTGCTCTTTCGTATTCTCCCATCCTCTCCCTATTTGCCCCGCAATGTCCTTCGCTCCACCGAACACTCCGGAAGCTGTATCCATCGCCGTACTCTTCATGTTCTTGAACATCTCTGAAGCCGAGTTGCTAACTTGTATAGCCTGGTATTGCACCCACGCTACACCCCCTATCATCAAGCCTCCAAACATGGCCGGTAACCTCGCGAACTTGAGCACCAGCCTCGGCAACATTCTGGCGAAGGAGACGTTCCGGACGATGACGGCATTGTGAAAGGAGCTCCCGGGAGGCCACATGCGCTGCCTCATCGACTGTATGGTCGCATCGGCGCGTTGAAGGCCACCGGTCGGAAGTCGAAAGCGGTGGTACTGGCGGACGGCGGCGGCACCGGCGCGCCGCGTGGTAAGGGGCACGATCCCCGCTGCCAGGAGCCGTCCACTCATGGTGGTGGCAGGTGAAGAGGACGTTGGTGGTGTGTAGATGTCATAAACAACTGAAAGTGGTAAAAGGTCTTTAGGTCTTTATTGAAATGTCGTTCTACTCGCCAGGATCGGTATGCACTCTTGGCGGACAGGATTGCGGTCCAGTTTCTCGATTATGCAGATCGGTTTTCCATGAAGTGTTGAGTTGGCGTGGAGATTGGGTGGACACGACGTCAGCGGGACAGTTTCCAGGGTTAGGAGCGGGAGTGGACATAGAATATCAGTCCCCATCATCCGCTTGTATAGCTTCAAGATCATGGTTATACTCCCTAGGTTGGCTATAGAATGAATGGGCTACTTTTGTATACCCTTATATCCTCAGGAAAAAGCTTTATGTAAGCTCTCAAGGTGAAGAGGCAGATATATACTTGTTAGTAAAATCGATCGCTTATTATAAAGCACTAATTTCAAGTGCTATTATATTACGCTACGTATAAATCTATAGTCCGTGGAACGGTAGCTCAGCGGTAGAGCAGTGGATTGCAGATCCAAAGGTCCCCAGTTCAAACCTGGGTCGTTCCTTCTTTGTTTTACATTTTTGCTAATCGACTTGTTGTTTATTTTATTTTATTCACTTAATATACCTTTCCTTTTACCGGGTTTACCTACTGAAAGTTCGCATAAATCTTCCGAGGTATTACAAGGTATCTACTTATAGTAACAGCAAGCTGTGAATTAGTAACTAAAGTACCTAGGTATATAGAGTTTATAGACGGTGTAAGTCTAATATGGTGGAGAAGAAGTCCCTAGTAGGTAGAATTCTTATACTAGAAAATCCTCTTAAATACGCGACAACACATAGGTCGTACCTTCCAACTACCACATAATCCTATACGTCGTTCTACTTTGAGCACGCACAGGCCTGTGTAGCAGCTGCGATGTCTCATACTTAGGTATCAGAAGCAGCGTTGCAAAAATGCGACAGAGAAAGGTAGGTGCAATGCAGCATAGCACCTTCTCGACTAAACGACCTTGGTGTTTCAACGGGAATGGGTTCCATATCATTGATGAACGCTCAGCCCTGGAGTGGACAAGAGTTCGGATAGATAAGTTTGTATTTATCAGTAACACAGAAACATGATTTGCCACGGGGGTAGGACATGCACACAAAGTTTCTTGAGCAGACTAGAAACAGTACTCTGTCGATCCTTCTAAGGGAGGAATGACTTTCTGCTGTTGTGGCTGTAGATCTCTATCAGAAAACTATGTTTGCTCAAGGTCTTCTTCAAGATATTCTACGTCTTATTTCGCGAAGGGTCCTATAATAAAACATTGAAAGGAGAAAAGCTAGAAGGTCCTTGGAAATGGTACCTTGTATATGAGAGTATTACTGAAGATTTCCGTAAATACCAGTACTAGGGATATCTTCTCACACGTTGATAATCTAATCGTCAGCATCCCGTCCCGGAGTGTCCCTACCGTTCTCCTTTACGTCTCGACGGGAAACATAAGCCAGAAAGATATCCGAAGATGCCTCGTGCGAAAGTGAGCCTTGTCATAACTCTGGGCCCTCCGGGGCTGCCTTGTTTGGCTGGCCTACCTATCTAGGTATGTGACGACTCCAGCTTCTCGGAAGAGGTAGTTGCTAACCCATAGGTTGCAGCACAACACTTTGTCATGTTGTCACTTGAGCCGCCATTTCAACACTTACCAGAATCTCTAAGTGCTCTTGGGGTTTGGCTCCGAAGTTGAGGCCTGGATTGGAAGTCACTGCTCATGACATACAGAACACGGGTTACCACACGGGTCACTCACTCGAGGACCAAACTCTGGTCGACGTAAACTGGCCAGCGATCCTTGCGGAGCTTCCGCTGGTCGGACCGATAGCATGCCAGACTCGACGGGAGAATGGCCCAGTCACAGATGTGGAAGATGTGGTAGGTTTTTGACGGTTGTGTTATTCAGTGCACTGCAGTGGGGCAGTTGCGCATATGGGCAGTAAGATTGACTGTCTACCACCTGGGGCCCAGAGAGACGAACGATGATGACAGCGAAGGGAGAGAACATCCTTCAGGTCCTTACATGTACAGTTCGCGTTTGCGATTAGGCATGCGGATATGCCCAGATGGGTGAGCTGGGATCGCATTGATTGTACGCAGACATTTGGAGATCACCGCCATGGTCAGGATGAGTCGAGACGCCAGGGCTGGCTCAGCGACATACTCATGCATCATAACAATCTCTGTAGTTCCGAACACTGCTCACATGCCATCGAATTTTCCGGCTGCGCATATTTGAGGAAAGAAGAATATAGGAAGACAAAACAGGACAGAATCCCTAAGGAATGAAGATCGTCCACGGGTAGCTGCATGCCACGGGTTTCTGTATAAGGTGGTCTGCCGCCATACTCAGAGGAGTCCGGTCAGGCTAATTGCTTGCAGCTCGCGCACTTCTTCAAGGATTTCCCTAGATTCACTGGAGAGTATGTCAGTTGACTTTCAAGGAATAGCAAACTCATAGTTGCAAGAGAGCTCCTCTGTCAGGTGACCTGTCGCTTTTCGATGCAGGTTGCGGATGAACAGCCCCCTAACACAGGTACCGCAACGCAGCCTGCTGCCCTGTAAGATGTCCGTTTATGCCTCTCCAAACTGAAGATCTGAACCACGAACGGCTTACAGTACAAAAACGCCAAGTCCGCTGACTCGATGCACGATACGAAGCCTGACGATCACATTAGTGACGCTGAGCCTCGAACTGTGGTGTCTTTGGCTTGGTGCTACTCCACTGGTCGTATGGCATCTCGTATCGATATTCTCAAGTCCATAGATTCGGGTCGCCCTAGTGTACGGGAGGCATTACCCGAGCATCCGCTCAGAGCGGTGTGTTCACGTCGTAGGTCCATTTGACGATGCCCCCAGGGCTCGTTGTGCAAGCGACAAGACGTTCATTTGCCGGCGATATTGCAGATATCCACATGCCCTCGCCGGAGGGTCTGTGAACACAACTCCTAAATCGGCAAACGGCAAATCTGATCCCTCACCTGGGCCTTTTGTTGGCACGCCGTCACCAAGAAAAGAAACACACCTACAGTAGGTAACTAGCAGGTTTGAAGCCGTAACGAAAGATCAGCTTGCTTCGGGTCAGACCACGGCCATTGTGCGGCACTGGCGGTGAAAATCTGTGGGATCAGCTACACAAGTATCGAGAATAGCATCAAGCGAGTCTCGAAATAGGTAAGAGGAGGCAATTGGCGATATTTGGCGATATTGAGTGTTGTATTCGCCAATGTCAGTCGGGACTCGGGGCGGGCGCAGGCATCGCCGTTACTGGCCACTGACCCACTACCTAGGTACTTACGAAGGTGAACGGGCAATACGGCAGTGAACGTCCCTGAAGGCGAACCCCTCACTGCGCTGAGAAGGGCATGAGTGGGTGGGATTGGCAAGGGGCACCCCACATGCATCCCAGGAACTGCAGGGGTCTAAAAGGGGCAAGAAGTGAAGTGATTGGCCGAGCTAAATCCCTGAAACACGTTTCAAAGCTTGGCATGGGCTCTTGCCTCTTTCTCCTGAAGTTCCGAATTGAGGGCTGGGCGTTGCCGACTCTTCTCATTTCACCATGGAGCGAATTCGTACACATCCGCCGCCCACCCCCCTGAGCTTACGCAAACCCCACCGGAACAGAATCTCGTAGACTGGACATTTCTTCGGTTACGTTTTGCTTTCTGCTTCTCTGAACCTTGAAGGCAGGAAGGCTGGTACCTGCATTTGGTTACATTTAATGCTGTTCATGCCAGATACGGTACCCACATCAATGATCCTTATCGCAGCCAACGTTTATCGGAACGCACGAAAATGTGAGACAGGGCTGGTAGCTAAATGCTGGTCTTTCAGCCTTCCAGCCTTCCAGCCTTCCAGAGATGTAGTGTACATAGTAGGTATGGCTTGACAGCTTGGTCTAGGGCTGCGAAGCCCTGACCATGTCTCAAGCGGGCTGCCGTCTGCTTGATGTCAATGCCAGGAAAGCACTCTTTTCTTCTTCCAAGGGTTGGAGTACACGTCTGTCCACCCTTTTTTTCCAAGACAACCACATGTGTGACGCGGTCATTGTGCCACGCGGTTTGCCAGTGCAAACCGAGTGCTCAGACGTTGTGGTAGCAGAAGAAATTGTGGTCTGACAAGAGCAATACAAGACCTCATCGCATTCTTATATCTGGAACGGCAAACCAAACCCAATGATGGCCGTGGTATCTTTTTCCATTGATCGTCTAGACTGATCGTTTGGTATTGATGAGAACTGTGGTATAGCTGCCGGTGGTTGTGTTGCCACTGGTCGAACAGCTGCTCCCTTGGCCAGCAGGAATTCAGATCATCAGAGGATCCATCATCGACGACCCCGCCAGCCCCTTGATATGGCCCTCCCAGGGCCTCCCTCTGCAGCTGTCGCAGGTGATTCATGCTTGTTCATTTCATCCCTTTCGTGCGGCTCGTCTAAATTCGTGCGCGCCCAATGAGCTTTACTAAAAGGGAGGTACCGGCGTCGTCCCAATTTTGGTGCGACGGCGGTAGCCGTGGGCAGTGAGCAAGCAAGATCGTGAGGTGCGCCTGGTTGGTTTTGTTAGGGCTCGGACAACCACCAGGAGATGCACTCGTATCTACTGTGTAAGATAAGGTGTGTACACACCGTTGTACGACCGGTCTGCCGGTCTACCCACAGCTCTGAGGTGAGGAGGCAAAATTCGCGGAACTTTTGGGGAAGATCTCCTATGGTACCGTTTGCCATTGATGAATCTGAATCCGTATTCCACATGTCACTTCTGGCCCCCCGATTGCAGCGGAGATACCGTGTCGCTACGGTCAGGGGCATCACAACGTGATCCTTGCATGCAGATCCTATCTAAGACATTGGCCCAACCAGCCGAGCGGCTACATATCGTACCTGCGTACCTGCGTACCTGCGTACCAGCGCCCGTCCCTGCGCCTCCCAACCCCCTGTCTGTCCCGAGGTCTCTCCACCAAAGGGTTCTCCCGCACGACCATGCTTTGAACGACGTGAGCTCCTGGGGCAGGCCCTTTAATCTATCCTGTGTACGCAAGCTCGAACAAGCTCAACCACCAGCTGCCTGTCCCACAATGGGCACCACTGAGAGATGCCCAGAACAGTCAGACCTGATTGGGCATGATCGAGAGTTTGTTCGTCCACCGCGTGGATTGTTCATGCTGCAAATTGGGGGCGGAGTCACGGCAAACTTCCTGCCCCAGTTCCGTATAATTGTTTACCGCGCTTATGGGTCCACGCATCGTGGATCAAATACAACAGGTACAAACGTCCAGATGTCCACTAGACGTCCAGGGTCGCTCAGTTGCCTGAGTGGCACATGTGCCGACGTTCATCTCGCCATCCCCACCGCCGAAAATGGAATGAAAATCCCCCCCGTGGTGAGCCCCATTGTCAGCCCCATTGTTTCTTGCCTCTTAGAAAGTCCTAAAGTGTGTCTCTCCTTCCCTCTTTGCCCGACTTTCGCCCTTTCCCACCTTCTCGCCCATTCTCGTTTTGGCATTCCCAGTTGCCGATTTTCAGGA